CTTCCGAATTCCTGACAGTTTTCACAACTCTCTGTGATTGTTACCACTCCCATTGTATACCCAAGGAAACCAAGACCCGAGAGCCTAAGAAGGGAAAGTGGGGCTCAGGGGGACAGAGGACGCTATAGAGCTCGGTTTGAATTCACATCTTCGGACGTGGAATCTAGCGCACATTTCATTTTTCTCCTCGTGTGCTTTCCAAGGCCACCAAGAAGAAGAGCACAGTGATTGCTTTGGTGCCGATTTCACCAATAAGACTGAGGTCCGTGTCCCCTTCCATGGGCCAAGTTCAGTGGCCCAGGGACTGCGCTTTTCACCGACTGTTCCTCATCCACCTGAATTGATGGGCCAAACCTGGTCATCCTCACGGCTGATGTTACACCTGGGCTCATCCCTGTTGCGACTCAGCACACATGTCTGTTCCTGTGGGTTCTCGGTAAAACGCTAGATTTATCCATCCCTCAGTCACATGCTGCATAGAGACATTAATCACTTTCAATCCGTTTTACTTATAAGCAGTATTAAGCACCCAAAACTCAGTCATTCTGACTCAAGAATTCAGGAAGGCAAATACATAGAAGGACATGTACATGTGTTTTTACATGCACCCCCCCCCCCACACACACACACTCATGCCTCTATATACCCTAGATTACAAATTCAACATCTTGAGTTAGTTGGCAAAAGCGCTTCTCTGTTTTTAAATCTCGTCTGAAAGCCTGTATGTTCACATCAAGTCAACAGGAAGTTAGTGGGTGCAGTTATCCCTGGAAACCATGCGGTGAGCCATGCTTTCTGGAGCACCTTCCTCGGTGACGGCATATGCTGGGCCTCAGGTGCTGCTGCTCAGTACACTGAGGGAAGCGCTAGTGTTCCCTTGACCTGGCTCATTCCACACGAAACCTGGCTTCACATTCGCACCAGCCACTGCCAGCGGTGTTTCCTTGTCCGTAGTTGGCAGTTTCCCGGATCACACCAGTTCCTGAAATCATTCTTTCATTCATGTTCAGTTATTTATTCATTCATTTGTACATCCAAAATTTACCGAGTGCCTTCTCTGAGTCAGCCATTGCTGGGCTCTGGATGGACAAAATCCTGGCCCTCCAGGTGCTTACGTTCTGCTGGGAAGACAGACAGGCAGTTTGAACTGTGTGGTACCTCTGGGAAACAGAATATGTTGGAGCACAGAGGAGAGCCTTCTGGCCCAACCAGGGCTGGGGAGGTCAGGACAGGCTTCCTGGAGGAGATGACTCATGGCTAAGCCATGAAGAAGAGGTAGGAGTTAGCCAAGCGGAGCAGGGAAGGGCTGTTTCAGACATCTGGATTTCTTTAGATTCTTGGCTTCTCTGTGTGTTTCCCTGTCAACTGCCGTAATGGTGATGACTGAGGCTAGCAGGTACAAGCCACCCTATTCTGGTCACACACCGTAGCTACTCCTGCTCTCTTTCTGTTCCCTGAGTCTTAGGTTTTGAGGAACCCGTAATTTATGTTCTTGCTCATTTAGCTAGTTCATTCACAAAGCGAATACATTCACATCCTGAGAGCCGGTTCGGTGCAAGCATTGTGACTGGCCCCTGCCATCTTGATGGCCTTACCTTCTCACCAGCTGCCATGTTTAGGGATGTTTACCTTTTGGCTCGTGGCAAGAACTGGACCTTAGCCTCACTTCCACCAGGAGGCAGAGAGACCTCATAATGCCCAGGGGCTTTTATCTGCTGCTGCTGTCTGGCTTTTGCTTCCTTCCTCCTTTCTCAAGACAGGGTGTGCCCTCATCTTATCCCCATATTGGCTGTGCCACCATAGTAAAGTTGAGGGAAAGAGTCTTTTCAATAACAATAAAATTGATATCCTGTCTTGAGTGTCAGGCGCCTCCTACTACGTGTGCATAAGAATCCCTCAGATCTTCACATCTTTAAAAGGGAGACCTTCCTGTCTTAATGCTGCTCATTTCATAAGTAGGATAATGAGCTTAGGAAGTCCAAGTGCTTTCTTGGTAGTGCCACAGGGCTAATGAGCAGCAGAGCTCACCATTAAACCTGGGCTTTTCTGCTTCCACACTTCTGATCTTTCCACCCAACCATTGCTTCTCAAATTTGGCTGTAATTAGTCAGGAAGTTTAAAAAAGCCTGATGCGTTGGTCTTATTAGTAGCTTGGGAGGGTGGCTTTTTTAAAAGTGCCCAGGCAAGTCTAATGAGCAGCCAAGGCGGGGAACCAATATGCCATGCCATGCTGCTTTGCTGCGTCTGCACTGGCTACAGTTGGTGGCGATGGTGATGTGTAGTCTAAGCCATGTGTGCATTTAGCCACGTGATTCAATGACGTTTTTTTTTTTGTTTGTTTGTTTTTTAGCCAGGGATCTTTGGCCCTCCCTGTTGCCCACTCTGCCTCCCCAGTGACCCCACTGCTCCTCCCAGTGTTGTACCTATTCCACTATTTCAAAATATTGCCGACTATTTAATCAGCCGCTGGGGTCTCGTGTCTTACCAGGGATTCACTGATAGGTGGTTAGAGTCTGATCACATCCAGCTGTTCTCATTTGTGGACATAAGCGAGGAGTCGTATCAACACACTGAGCACACTCACTGGTCTCCAGAGGGCTGCTGCTTGACCTGGACACATTGCGAGTGTGGCCTGGCCTAGCCTTCCACGCTTCTACAGCCCCTCCTTGCTCTGCAGTCCCCTAGCACGTGACTGGGTGCTGCCCAGAAGGACTGTGTGGCCCAGCTGGTTAGAACACACACACACACACACACACACACACACACACACACACACATTCTGTTAAGAGAGGTCATTTCCCCTCCTCATTGGACAAGTAAGGCAGCTGAAGCAAGCCTAAGTAGAAAGACCTAGCAAATGAATGGCTGCAGAACATGTTCCTTGCCTCCCACTGTGGTTCCTGTTCCATTGCATCAAAATAGCGAGTCTCAAAGCAGGGCTGCATGGAAGCTGTCAGCGTTTTTACCTTCTTTCCTGATTACCCTTGTGACAGGGGCACTGGGACACTTTGGAGGTCACTTTCTACCCCTGGAAAAACCATGATCTTTCCCTTCCATTTCCCATGAACTCTTTGGGATCCCCTTCCCTTATAGTTCTGGGGACTAAGGTGCTTATTGACTCTCCTGGTGCAGCTACAATGGTCCTGACGTGTCTGGGCTCATCTTGACTTGCTCAGCTGAATGGAACCCTCCTGGGGTGCCACTTAGACACTTCTGGAACCTTCCCCACCCTAACTCACTTTGCCCACTCATCAAGTCGATTCTGACTCATAGCGACCCTATAGAACTGCCCCTGTGGGTTTCCAAGACCGTTAACTCTTTCCGGGTCTAAAGAGCCTGGTCTTTTTCCTGTAATGCCCACCCCTTAGTATTTATTTTCTGCCCTCACTGACTGAGCAGTGACTCTGTGCCAGGCCCTGATCTGGGCACCAGGAACACAGGAAGGAAGCACATATTCTGTGTCCCAGAGACCTCTGTTAGGCCTCGGCTGCACATCTTTGCCCTTGAACGGAGCAAAAAGCATCCTCTTGCTGCGGCGTGGCCGGCGGTTTCAACCTGTGGTTCACAGCCCTGCGTGTATCCCATTACACCACCCCGCACCTTAAGGCACAACACCCGGGTGTAAGTGAAGGGCAACGATGCCCAGGCCTCTTGCAGGCCCTACTCTAGACTCACTAGTTCAGATTCTTGGGACACAGGTTGGGTTTGGGGGGCCCTCCTTCTATGGATCCCCGCACCTGACAACGGAGCTCCTCAAGCCTCTCACTGTAGCCACTTTTCAATGAAACCCAAGGTCTCTTCGGGGAAATGACTTGGGCTTGGAAGGCGTGCCTCCTAGATGCTGGTGAGTGCCTCGCCTGTCATCTGCTCTACAAATGAGAGCGGGCCACAGCGCCTCCTCTGGCCACGTGGCCTTATCGTTCTAAGGAGAAGTGGGTTGTTCGCAGGGTGGGTGGCAGGGGATGGTGTGGACAGTCGAATGAAATAGGCCTGGAAAGTGGTAGCATCCCAGTGAGCAGCCACCCTGCAGCGCATCTGGTCAGACACCCTCTGCTTCGGAAACAAAAGCAGGTTCAGTAGGAGGACCCGTGACACCCAAGTGGCCCTCCACACGCTGCCTCCACCTCTGGGAATCAGGGTTCAGCTTTGGACACCCGTGCTTTGTCAGCTTCACGACACCCTCTCAGAACATGTTTGTTTTTGTTTTTGCGGCTTGGAGAGCACATTCTTTAACAAGATTTTGTAAGAAATCCTTTATCAATCTAGTCATTCCGTAGGAGTGGTTTTTTCCCCTATAGCTGTGTGTTTTCTTAAGACACAGCAGTGCTGGGCCGTGGGATCGCCTCTCATCTATGTCTTGGAACAGAAACGAGACCCTGGCTGTGAAAGAGCGTTGAGTCACATCATGCTCCCCCCTGGTTCTGCGAGGGGGGCCCCCAGAGCGAGTGCCTCCGCACCACCTGCGAGCTTGTTAGCCGTGCCAATCTTGGGGTCTCTCATCAGGTTCCTGCATTTTTAGCAAGCCCAGCAGATGCTAGACTGCACTGTTGTGCCTCCGGAGGAAATTGACCCCGATTCTAGCCACGGGAGATGGCCTGGGGACACAGGAGAGGTGGCAGCTTTGTCACCGACCTCACGTGGGGGTGGGTGGGGGGGAGATCTTTTAAAAGGTTCAGCTTCGTGCTTGAAGCCAGACTCTGTGTGCGTGTTTGAGCATGTATGTGCGTGTGTGTGTGTACAGCATCTTCGCACAGCTTGCGTCTCCGAGTGCACATGGTGTGTCGCTCGACACGCTTTGCGAAAGCAGTCTTCCCGTGCTCCTCCTGTTAGGCGAAGCCCTCCTCACCTCCTTTCTTGGTGCACTGAAGCCAGAAGCCCGGGGGCATCAATCGGTTTAAAGCCAGGCAATCAATATTAGGATATTTTCCCTCCACCTGCACCATCCTGCTGACTTTCTCGAGTTACCTATTAAATGAAAATAAAACATGGTTTCTTGATAGGTTTGAAGCTTCGGGACTTCTTGGTGGACAATGAAACCTTCTCAGGATTCCTGCACCACAACCTGTCTCTGCCCAGGCCCATGGTGCACCGGGTGACGGGGGCCACTGTCAGCCTCCACAAGGTAGGCACCCCTCCCACGGCCTCAGCGGCCGACTGATGACCATAGCATTGCTGGGGCCCATGGAGCGAGACAGATACAGCCCTGCCCCCGCAGTGGCGGAAGAGGAGGTTGTTGCCTCACGTTCCGCATCACCTAAGTTTACTTCTCTGCTCGGGCTGGCCCTTGCCAAACCGTTCCGGGTGTGTGGAATATCCAACATGGTATCACGGACCAGCTGGTTGACAGAAAACGGATTTTCTGCCTGTCAGTGGATATTTGTGATGACTTTGCCCCCAAAGGGTCACATCTGACGTTATTTGTTACCCCTATTTTTCTAGTGTGTTACAATTTTGAATCACAGGAATAGATATGTCTTGAGATCTAGAAGAGAGGTGTTAAAAATCTTCACATTTCTTTTAAATAGGGACCAAATAATAATACTACTATTTGAGACAAGGAAGTAATTCTAGCTTTTGATTCATGTAGTATTTCCATAGGCTCGGTATCTTTCCATCCATAGAACATGTCCTCTGGTGACATTGGTCATCCTACAGCGCCTGTGCAGTAGGCAGCAGACACAGACCGCGTGGTTATCGATTTCCGAAGCTTCTCAACTTGCTTCTCTGGCAGGCAGGAAGGACTGCTACCCGACCCTCGCCATGTCTGCCTATTAGTTTGTTTTCATAATGAGCAGACATGGAAATGGTTATGCCTGAAAATATGGCCTTCGCTTCACACGATCTAGAGAGTTTAAAAAATTAGAAAAATGTGCTCACTGCTTGCCCTTACGAAACCAGGAAAGTATGTCTCATGTTTACCAATTCTGTGGTTGTGAGATGGGCCAACGGCAACAGGCTGTTTTTTTAGAAATCACTGCACTGAGCGTGATTCCCAAAGCTGCCTGCCTGGTCTACGGTCTCATCTGCTCCCCTGAAAATAAGGGGCATCCTCAGTGGGAGGGAAGGAGCTCTGGTGGCAGAGTGGGCCAAGAGTTGGACACCTAAGCACAAGGTCCTTAACACAATGGCAGTGAGGAAGCAGGGAGGTGGTCCTTGCATGGCCAAGTAGTCTCGTGGTCAGTGTTCTGAACCGTCAGTGCTGAAGGAAGGTTGATCGCTTGGCAGCAAGAGCCAGAGAAAGGAATCAAGCTGAAGGGTGCCTGAGTATTTGGCAGTAGGTGGAAATCTAATGGAAACCATGACAGGCCAAATGCTCTGGGGCAGGTAAAGTGGTTCGTTCCAAAATCTGAAATTACTTGAAATAGTTCTTGTGCATCAGTGAAATAGCAGCACCTACACATAAATAGTAGAAATATTTTCGTAGTTTGGCCCACTCTCAGCTTAAGAGGTCACAGTGTCCACAATAATGAGGGGATTATTGTTTTCGTAATAATTGTTTTAGGTATCCAGAGACGGGATTCCTCTAAGGTGAGAAAATAATTGGGCTCTCGACTTCCCTTTTTAAGGATGATAAGCGTGTGAGAGATGGATGAATCAAACACAACATCTAGGTTTGAAATGTCCTTGCTATACCAGTAAAGGGACACTATACATTGGCTAATGGTGGAGATTTCCATTTTAAGATCTTCAAAAGTGTCCTGGTGTGAGGAATCCCAAAAGGCTTTGAGGACCTGGTTTTCCATCTTTGTAATCCTGTTTTGCTTCTCTCTCTCTCTCTCTCCATGAAATGCTTCCAGGTATTTTTGCATGGATACCAGTTACATCTGACCAATCTGTGCAATGGGTCAAAACTAGGAGAGGTGATTCAACTCGGTGACCAAGAACTTGCCAAGCTTTGCAGCCTGCCAAGGGAGAGGCTGGATGCAGCCGAGCGAGTGCTTCGCTCCAACATGGACATCCTGAAGCCGATCCTCGTGAGTAGACTTGCGTGGAGAAGCTGCAGACTCTCTGCTTTGGGAGTGTGAATTTTTTCCGTAGACAGCTTGCTTTTGTTTTTATAGTCACAGGACTGGCTGAGCGATTGTGACATCATTTAATTCAGTGTTTTTAAAACTTCTTTCAGGTTTTTGGGGGTGGCGCTAACATCAAGCCTAAAATTTCTTGTGCTTGTTTCAATCAGAGGAAACGTGTGTGTGTTTTCTAGATCGTCATGAAAAGTCAGAGTTCCTTTGAATAAAGAGTTACCCTGATTTTTTAAAAAAGGCTCCAAAACCAATGATGGGGGTAAAAATCCCAACAGGAAAAGGGTCCCTGTGGGCTGTTACTCAGGAACAACTGCACTTAGTCTAAGTGGGAGCTCACCAATGATAGAAAAGTATTCAAAGAAACAAAGTCCTAACCAAAGTCTGACCAGCTTAGGAAACAAAGGTTTAGAGAAGCAGGCCACGAGACTGGACACATGTTAACCAGAGAAGGTGGATAAGCCCGAGCACTGTGGGCATGGGAGGGCTGTTCCTGAGCTGGGGTGGTTCTCAGGGGTGCCTGAGAACTCTGGTGAAATGGCCCCGTCTGGCCTTCCAATCGTATCATTTAACAATCAGTGTTCTGGCTAGGAAGTTCCGTGAAAGGCAGGAAGGAAAAGAGTCCTGGAGGAAATATTTGCTTGTATAGAAATGTTCCTCATGATAGGAAAAGACATTTGGAATCCTCTGGGACTTTGTGCAGCGTAATTTCTTTACAGAGCAACTGTGTCTTCCAATGCTGTTTCTGGGCCCCGGGACTGGATTATACCCGAGAATGTGGCCTAAGTTTTATTCTCTTGACTACATTTTATAGTCTTCATTGGCCCTCCGGAACTTCCTATATCCTGCTCCACTCTGAGACGGAAGCTTTGCAGCTTCTGTCCGAGGTGAAGGGGGCAGTAAGACTGTCCGTGAGTGCTTGGGTGCTGCCAGGGCAATGTGCGTGGTGAGCATGACCACGGGTGTGAAAGGCTGAGGCCTGGTGCTCAAGATCTGCTCTTTTGGCTTTTTAGCTCCAGAAATATGTTCTCTTTCCATTAAAAAAAAGAAGCGGTTGCTTTGTTCAGTGACTTGTGATTTTTATCAGTTAACATTTTTCCATTCATAGTTTCAAGTCCGATGTGTTTCGGTCTGCAGCCCTAGGTAATGGACCTAAGTAGTGAGATGAGTGTGGTGACGCATTCCTGGTGATATGGAGGGGACTGACTGTGGCAAAGGGCAGGCCCTTCCTTGGACTGGATTGGCTGTTTCCACGACCGAGCGTCACTAAGGACGGAGTGCTCACCCTTTCTTCTCAAAGGATCAAGTGTTGGAAAGATGATGTGTGTTTGGAGGCGATAGGCAAATTTATTCTGATGTCCGTGCATTTTCTCTCCCGTTTCATTACTCATTAAACACCTATTGTGTGCTCAATCCAGGAAAAGCCCACAAATCCCATAATGACAGAATCACACTCCAAGTAGAGTACTAATAAATAGCTCTGTCATCGAGCAATCAACAGCTCAGATTTCTGCTTGGAAATCTTTGGCTGGGAAGGGAAGCACAGCGGGGTGCATGGAAATTTAGCTCCTTTCCATGCCGCCTCGTGTTGGGGGTGGTGTGCACCAGGTCCCCGTCGGTTCACTGCCGGACCTGTTTGAGGTGACGGTTATGTGTCTTCCTTCACATCTGTTGGGCATGTGGAACGTCTCAGATTCTGCTCCTGCTGAGAGAGTTCTCGCTAGAGAGCCAGAAAATAGGGTTCCTCAATTAGAAGGTTAGCGGGTTTGGATTGTTGCATGTAAATGTGATTTAAGGATGAAGTGACTTCCAAGCATTTAAAAATGTAATTCTCAAGGGTTCGTGAGGGAGGGTGGGTGGGGAGGGAGGGGAAAAATGAGGAGCTGATATCAAGGGCTCAAGCAGAAAGCAAATATTTTGAGAATGATGAGGGCAACAAATGTACAAATGTGCTTGACACGATGGATGGATGTACAGATTGTGTTAAGAGTTGGATGAGCCTCCAATAACAGGATTTTAAACAAAATGTAATTCTTAACTTTTGACATAAGCAGAGCCTTAATAGGGGGATTGGTGACATTTCATTCACATTTAAACAGCCTTTTCTCCTGCTGCTTGGTTGAAATTTCAACATTTGTGAAGGTAGACGGGTATGACACGTGAAACCACTGCACACGGCCTATGGATTGTTCCAAGAACTGTAACAGAAGCAGCAACATCATGGGGAGAGAAACTTGTCAATAGGTGTTTCCGTACCAAATCTCGTAGATTTTACGAGAGAGATGCATTTGTCTCCACATTATTTTGGGGGTACTGTGGGGTACTGTTTCTCTCTTCAGCTAAAGGTATAGCTGACCCTTTCTCTGGGGTCGTTCTTAGTCACCTCTGGATAACAGAACAGGCAGTCCCTGGGCTACGAGAATCCGATTCCTGGACAGGTCTTGCTGGCCCTTTAATGAAGGGCCTTGAACCACTTCTATCATGGCCCCAAATAGGACAGACTTGAAGTTTTACAATGTGAGTGATTAGTCAAAGTGACCAGACTAGGGGAAAATTACTGGCCGAAACCCTAGAAGGAGAGACTCCGAAGCGGTGTGGTGAACTCCTCAAGGAGCCTGATGCAGGATGGCATTCTTGCTAGGCCTGTGAGGAAAGATGCTCAAGTTCAAAGCCATTCCAGTGCCTACTGTCTGTAAGTGAGGTGCCCTTATCTTTGAACTGGGAGAAAGGAAAAGCTTCAAATGTTAAAGAATTTACTCAAAACTTGGGACAAGTGAACCACCCTCTGTCTGCAACAAATTCTTCATCACAGTCGCCATCACTTGATGGACACACAGCTTTTAAATCCGTGAGAGCCTTTTCTTGCCCCAAACCTACTGCCATCACGTCTGTTGTGACCCATATCAACCCCCGTCTGTGATTTCCAAGGCTCCGTAAACCTTCAGCAGAGGTAGGGAATGTCTGCCCTCGAATCATGACTACCTGCTAATATGAATACCTCACCCACGAGAAGTAGTTCCAGTTATCACTTTAGGGGTGAGTTAATTCAATGTTTGCCTAGTATGGCCCCCAGATAATGTTATCAATATTCAAATAACCCTTAGCAGACAGAAATTTTCCCCACCCCTGCTTTCCAGGAATAGCCTGAGCGGACGGTAGCTTTGAACCACAAACCAGTCCAACACTCCCCTGACAGCACCACCGGGGTTTACTTCTATCAACTCAATAAACCGAAAATCCAAACGCACTGTCATTGAGTCATTGTTGACTCACTGACCGCCCGGTGGGTTTCTGAGACTACAGCTGTTTCCAGAAGTAGAAAGCCCAGCTTTCTCCCAAGGACCTGCTGGGGGTTTTGAACTTCTGACCCATGCAGATCACAGCCCAATGCGTAACTACTGCTCCACCATATGCCTGTTTCAGCTGACCCACAGATTTGACTTCAGGGCGCAGCAATGGAGTTTGTTCATAGGTGAGCGCTGTGTCTATTTTGAACACACGGGGGAAATTGTGGCAGAGTGGGAAGGGCATGGGTTGGAGGTCAGCTGAATCTGGGTTCGTGTTCTGACTCTGCAGTTTATTGACTGTGTGACTTTGGATAAACTTTTACGCTCCCGAAAGCCCTAGTTTCCGATTCTACACAGTTAAGAACTATATTCTACACCATGAAGAGCCTAGTTTGGGGCCTGGTACATGTTTGATTCTCAATAAACGGAAGTAATAATTTAATTGATATAAATAATGTAAATTATATGCTGAAAACTGTTATTTGCAAGACTGAAGTTTTCTTCTGGGTATCTGTGTTAGGAATCGTAGTTGTGCCAGACAGTCTGGTCCTGGAGAACATTTCCCTGAACAATTGCATTCTTTGGGCACATAGAGCCAGGGACTGTCACTCTGTAACCTCCATGAAAATGAACGCTGGGTTTCAGAATGTTATTGCATCGTTCTAGTTCTCTGGGGTTAATGGTGGTTTCCAGTAGGCATTCCCTGTTTTTCACATTCAAAAGTTAGGAATTAATATAAACGATTTGAGCGATTATTGTGTCTGTGTTCTAGGAGCTATTGTCCACTGAAGTCCTCAAACAGGTAGCTTTGTGATGAATCCAAGGATAGGTCGATGCGTACAATTCTCTCTCTCGAAACACAACTTGATTCTGAAGGGAGACTCATGTTACTTGGTGCTCATAGTATTTGTTGAAAGAATGGCCTCGTGCAGGAGGTCAGGGCCCTGTGGTGATGACCTCTCCTGTGTCCCTGCCCAGCAGGGTGCACTTGGCTGCACTAGCTGGCTCAGCCGTGGACCCACTTTCCTGAGGCACACACACCTCAGACAGAGGTCGCCCTGTAGTCTCCCGTCAGGCTTCTGTGACAGAGTAGAACCATAATTTGTTTCCGTCCTTAACATACCGCAAATGATCAGCTTTAAAGAGCATAGATGTGTTGGTTCATACATCTGTAGGTCTGGGGTCAGGATACAATGTGGCTCGATGGGGGCCACTTGATGAGGCTGAAATCCAGGGGAGGGTGAGATCATTCCCAGAGGCTGTCAAACTGTTACGAGAACTCAGTTCCTTGTGGCCCTAGGGCTACGGTCCCACTTTCCTTGCAGGCTGTCAACTAGGGGTTGACCTTGGCTCCTAGAGGCTGCCTGCGTTCCTTTCATGCTTCTTGGCTGACTTCTCTACTGTAACTGTTGGTCCCATTCTTCTCAAGCTTCCCAGCTCTCCAACTTCAATTTCTAGACAAATCTTTTCAGCTTTTCTCTCTGCCAGGGAGGGCTCCTGTGAGTAGACTGGCCTCTTTGGATGATCCCAGACGATGTCCCTATTGCAACATCCCTGTGAGTGAGCATCACTCAACTGCAGTGGGTTCGGGTGGGTTTTTGAAAACTGTAATTACATTTACAAAGGACCATTTTTGCCATGTAAGTTATACCATTCTCGTTATCACAAACTCCAGGGATTAGACTGTGGACAGAAAGTTCTGTCTCTGTGGAGTTCCGTTCACATGTCTTCTGAGGGTGAAGCATGTTCCCGCAGAGGTGGAACTCTGTTCGTGAGGCTGCAGTGAAGTGAGCCTGCCTTGATGTCCCTGAAGACCAGTGATCTCACAGCTGGACTGTGTGTTGACCTGAGACGCAAATGAACAAGGAACGAGCAAGATCATCCTTGTGATGTAAATCTCGTTGGAAGGCAATAGTGATTGCTTCTGGGTGGTGACGGTCTTTGTACCTAGTACATGACTCACTTGTTTTCAGTTTGACCTGAAGCACATTAACCCGAGCCCCGAGCCTGAGTTTCTTGGGTAAAGGCAAAGCAAAGTCAAGATTTTCCTCTACTTGAGGGTGCTTAAGCAAAGTGTGAAATGACCCAGTGAATGCTCTGTAACCTGCATTCATGGGAAGAAAACCAAAGGATATAGGATGTTAAGAATACTACTCAAATGTTTACACACCCACAGCTCACTTCATAGAGTAGTCGAGGTCCTGAAAAACGAGTGTGGGTCAGAATTTTGTAAATTGAAGAGAGTTTTCAGTGATTTTTAATTTCATCGATATTTTGTCTCTTACTTTCATTTGACTGTGATTGCAATGCATTCATAATACTGTCTTCCAGTCTTCTTTTTATGGCGTACACACAAAGACTTAAATTTCTCATTCAGATGATGTGTATGGGACCCTGGCCTATACTGTACACTGGGACAGGGAGGTGAAGTTGAGCAAGGTTCAGCTTTCGATGCATTTCATTTCTGAGAGGAGGAGGATGGATTGGGAAAGAAGCCAAGGCTGTGTAAAGCAAGAGCCACCCTCCTGTGTACAACAAAGACTCAGCTGGGCCTTGGAACTCGGGCTTTGAGGCAAGAAAGCAGTCTGTAAGTTGGGACCTAAAGAATAGATGTTAGCCAGTAAAGATCCAGAAGAAGGGTGTTCCGGCTGAACACGTACCGTCTGCAGGTATTGTGCTGAGAGAGAAGGTAGTATTTGGAGGACCAGTGTTTGAGGAGGTGGTTCAGAGTGGAGTGGATGTAGCTGTGGGAAGACCGATGAGGGAGAGACGGTCAGGCATGGCTAGAGTGATAGGTGAAGGTCAGAGAAAAACCTTCATGACCTTGGTATGCTATTATGCTTCATCCTCAGGGGAAAGGGCACCATTAAGGGGTCCCAGGGAGCAAATAGCTTGATGAGGCAAATACAACATGTAGAGTATTTCTGTGAAGGCTTTTTACCTCTCACCCGTGTACATGTGAATACTTTTGACACCAGACTTTGACCATTCTCTCTCTCTCTCTCTCTCTCTCTCTCTCTCTCTCTCTCTCTCTCCCTCTCCCTCTCCCTCCCTCCTCCCTCCCTCCCTCCTCACATATTCTTTTGCTTTTCCTTCTGCAAATAGTCATTGAGCATCTAGTTACTATGTAGAGTCCCTGGGCAGCATCAATGGGTAACCTGCTTGGGGAAACTTCTCACCCTGAAGGTGAGAGGTTTAAGTTCAGCCAGAGCTGTCTTTGAAGAAAGGTTCAGAGATCCTCTTCTTGAAAGAATCAGTCATTGAAAACCTCACGAAGCACAATTTTATTCAGACACTCCTGGGGTCACAATAAATTGAATTTGACTTGACAGCAACTGGCTTTTGTGTCTTACCTGCCGGGAACTATAAGAAGGCACTGAGCCCAAATAAAACACCTGCTCAAACATGAAGACCAAGTGGACTTGGCTGAGCATCTGCCTTTCTTCTTCTTCTTCTTCACCACATTGCTAGTCTTTTACATTTAAATGTTAAGATAGTGAGGTTAGAAAGGCTCATTCGTAGGACCCAGCAAGGATGGTGTACAATGATCTTTGTCATTTGGGAGCCATGGGCCCAAAGTGCATGCTTTGAGAATGCTGCTGTGTTTTGATTAGCACATTGTGTCAAACCGGGTGGAAACATGTGCTTAATACAATAAGCATCTGTGTCTTTCCCCCCTAATGATACTATAGTACTCAGTTGTGGTCTAAAAATACAGAGTAATACGAGAATTCCAGTTATCATAGGACAGGAAATTCAGTCCTTCATTATAGCCTTTATTTTCCCTGCTTCTCTCCCTTTTCCTTATCCTTTACAGTTTACATGGAAATCGTTTGGTTCTGTGATCAGTGGAGACCTAGATGAGTTCCTAGCCAAGGGAATTTGGGGGGGGGGGCCTGGAAAAATAGTAGGGCTTCTAAGTTGTAGATTGTTTACTGCAGCTCTTTGGGAAAAAGCTCTGGCAGGCTTTGTCTGCCTTTGTCAAGGAAGTATGAGAAAGAAACCAGAGTTCATTGGAGGTGCAGGCACATGATTCGCAGGCTTCATTGTGTGGCCCAGTGTCAAGACATGAGTTATTTCCTAAGGTTAAATTTTTTCAAGAAAGTTAACCATCCTTCAGCTCTGATATATATGCATACCAGCAAATGTTCTTTCTACTCTCCCCTCCTTTGAGTTAAAGAGACAATTATGGAATAGTTACGATACATGCACAAGTACAGAGACTAGCACGAAGAACACCCACACCCATCATTTATCATTGTTATACTTGCTTGTTTCCCTTTAAGAAACTAAACTTGATAGATGCAGTTGATACCATCTGAACATCCATATCGCTTTCCTAAGATAGCGCCAACACAGCCCTTGAGGTTGCCTGTTTCTATACTCTACCAAATATACTTACGCTTCATTGTAAATAAGATATACTATGGGTTTGGGTGCGTTCACTTGGTGTAAGGGTAAATAATGATTGGAAACATGTCTTTTTCACTGAACGGTTTGTTTTTGTGATTTATTAACGTTGCTCTAGGTGGCCCCTGATTCATCGTAACTGAAATGCAATTCCATTTTTTATTAAGTTGTAAAAAAGGCCAGTCTTCCAATCCTTGGATGGTTTGCCCACCCTCTGACCCCATACTGTTTACAGTGTCTTTAGATAGACACTTGTTCACTTTAACAAGTTGAATTAAAAAAAAATTCCCATGGATTGTTCTCCGTGTAAGGCTGCCTGCAATCAGTCTCCTACGGATCTACCAGAATGCAGTGTTCAGAGAAAACCCTCTCTCTCTGACAGGTGTTGACTTGCGTGAAGGGAGCCTAGGGATCTTCAGAGGGGGAGGAAAGATGAGGGGCGGAGGGTGGGATAGAGCTCGAAGGGGGTTGGTGTCGTCTGAATGGTTGAGTGCAGTCTGAAATGTAAACCCTTCAGCTACTTGAAATTCAGAAAAAGATTAATAAAATAGAAAAAGGAAACCTTTCTTCTGCCACACAGAATTCTGGGACTTAGCTGGTATTATGTTTTAAGAGCAACTCAGGTGTCAGGTAGGACGAGTTTGTTTTCATAGCACCTTTAGACATGTGCTCAGGAATGTTCATGACAAGGTTGTGTGGATATTATGATGCGGTGATCCTAGATTGAACTTGTGGGTTTGACACGATTTATTTATTTTTAACAAAAGAAACACCCCAGGCTGCTATTTCTCAGTGGTGATAACAAATGTCATCTTCAGGTTTATCTTCCTTGTATTCTGCATCATCATTCTATTAACAGTCTTGTGTAAGAGAAGTGTCAAAGTAGCCTTCTCTGAACTTTCGGGATAACTTAGTTTTAAATACATATTCATATGTCCACATAAGGGCCATCATTTAAGTACTGGTAATTCTTATCTGAAGAAGACACATGTGGATACACAGTTAGAATGATTGTATCATCTTTTCTTTGGGTTCAGGAAAATCACTTCTTTTCTCAACTTAAGACTGAATGGCTTTAATCACCTTGTTTACTTCCAGTAGAGATCCTAGATGTACATTGAAACTCCGAAGCAAAAGCATTCCATGTTTTCTCATTCCAGGCAGAACTCAACACCACATCTCCCTTCCCGAGCAAGGAGCTGGCTGAAGCCACCAAAACGTTGCTGTATAGTCTCGGGAACCTGGCCCAGGAGGTAAGTGGTGTCTTCTGGGCATGAGAAGGCAGAGCCTCCACCATTAGTTTCCTCCTCTTGCAGTTGGGCTAAGTCAGAGCCAGCCAGCCATTTGAGCACCAAAGCAGCAGTTGTCCTGCTGATTTGAATATCAGATAAAACGGAGAACCAATTGTAGGAGCATAAGGGATCTGAGTCACGGATCTGTTTTGGTTTCTTTACTTTCCACATGAAGAAACCGAGATCTATACCTTGCAAAGCTAGTAGCGGCTAAAGGTCAGATATCGAGCCTCGAACTTTCTCCCTTTATTTCTTTCTCCTTTAGATAATGGCACCTCTTCCATCTTCACCCACTCCTGCCATGTACTTACTGATTCTCTGCAACCAGCCTCCTCCGTATTTCCTCCTCGATCACAAGGCCAGACCACCGTTTGACCTAAACGTTGGGGGAAGTAACATGGTGCCTGTGATCAGAGAGCTGGCTTCTGATCTTCCACCTTGGGAAGAGAGCCCCTGGCGGAGCACTATGTCGACTTCGCCTTTCCGCCCCCCCGTGTTAACACCCCTGTTAGAATCATCTTTGTGGTGGGGTCTGAGGACCTGTAGGTGCCTGCACAGCCAGTCAACTTTGCCTCTGCCTCTTGGCCAGCCTGCAGTCCGCCTCTCGGAGTCTCAGCCTTGCTACAAGGTCGACTCGGAAAGCAGTCGCCATGCGGGGCGTTAGTGGGCACGGAGCAGAGCCAGGGACACGTGGTCTGAAAACAATGCAGGCTTTTGAATGTAGAGGACATAGGACAGGAATTCCACGCGGGGGAGGTTTTCCTCTGATTTGGCCCAGGCATCGTTTCAGTTGCATTTGTACCTCACCTTGTTTAGGGGTGGTTGTAGGAGTTTTTCAAATATCTAAACGGACATTATGTTTGTGATGGGATACAAGAGTAGAGAGTGGAAAATATTTGGAAAAGACAGAACTCACAGAGGCGAAACACCCTTGACATTTCAGTGCTTTTCTTTCTGGTATCTTCTTTCTTTCCATTCTATTCATGTGCCGGCGACTTAAGAGGCTTGGCTTTTGGGTCTCCCCTGTCAGTGGGAGAAGCCTTCTTCCTGCCTGCCATTTGTTAGTCCGGGTTTGAATGCTGGTGACCTTGCCCAAGGTGGAGCCACTGGGTCAACTGGGGTCCTTCCAGGAGGAGGAAAGAGAAACAGACACTGGCTACACATGGATAAGATAGCTCTGTCTCTCTGGTGTGAAACGCTCCCGTCCCTGCTTGCTGAAATGGATGTGCTCTGGCAGGTCACCTCGCAGCCTCCCGCCCTCTCCCCTTGTCTGGCTTTCATTTCTGGCCTTAGAGAAAGCGAAACAGGCATTGTAACTGAGGAGGCTGCTTCTCAACCCCGGGGTCTGGCTGCATCTGTTTCCTCTTAGATCACTGGGCTTGCCTTTTGTGTGGGGTTAAAAAAAATAATTGCAAGCGTTTGATAGCCCCATTGCTGATGTGGCAGAAACGCGTCAGCTGCGCAGTATACATTTTCCTTGGCAGCTGCTTCCTCGTGCCCTGCCTGTCCCCTAGTCCAGGGTAAGCAAGGATCACACGCTCGTCTCAGTGGAACCCCACCCCTCACCCCCCGCCCCCGTCCACTGCCCATCTTGCTGTTTCTCTGAATTTATCATGGGGGATGATAGATAAACGGGCGACGATGCTGAAGAGGCCTGTTATCTGGTCCATGTTTGGAAAGTGAGTTGACTGTTTTGACCCAAACACAAGCTAGTCTGCTTCAGGCAGCTTCACTCGTTTGCCTGCACAGTGCAGCTTCTGAATGGAATTGTGCCCGTTTTACCAAGGGCTCTTAGGTTCAGAAAAGTTAAGCATTATGCCCACAGTCACTCAGGACTGTGGTGTGCCACGGCCCATGATTTCACTGCCCACCTTTTGTTCGACTGCTTACCTAGAATGAAAAGGAGACCCAAGAAGGAAAGAAGGAAATGAGGGCCTGGCAGTGGTGTGGAAAGGGCAGCGGAAGTGCCCCTTAGAGAGAAGGGGGGGAGCAGGACAGGAAGATGGCGTGAGGGAGAGTGATGGGGTGCTAAGCGGAGTGATTGAGGATGATTTCTTTAACAAGGGGGTAATCAGGGACCTGAAGGAAATGAACAGACCAACTTGGTCAGAGAAGGGCATTTCAAGCAAGAAGAGACAGGGGCTACCAGACTCTTAAGGAAGGGGGCTAGTGTGGTCCCCCTAAGTGAACAAGTGAGAGAGGACAGTCAGAGAGGAGGCCGGAGGGGGGGTTGGGGTTTATGCTGAGCGAGATGGGAAGCCAGCCTGCGGAGGATTTGGAGCAGAGAAGGTCATCATGTGGCCTTGAACTTTGTCAACAGTTGGCACTCAGGTTGAAAAGAAAGACGAAGGGTGGGGGCATGATACGAAGTGAGAACATCAGTTGGGAAGTCATTGTAGTGCGGATCTTCCCAGATGGTGAGACCCTGCAGCGACGGCTCCAGGAACACAGGGATTGATCCATGATTTATTGTGAAGTGCTTGAAAATGCAAAGTGCTTTATGAATAAGGAACAGTAAGAGCCGCTGGGCCCAGAACCACCCCTAGGAGTGGAGTGCAGATGCGAATGAGGCAGAGCACCTCCATGGATGCTCTGTGAGTGTACGTCACCTGGCCTGCCGTGCGCTGGCTTCGCAGGCTCCGCCTCGCCCAGTTCAGGCATCCTTGGGGCTTAGAAAGCATTTTGTGATTTGCTCCTCACCACACTGTTGGAGCATTGTCATTGTGATGAGAAATGGGGTCTGTAAAGTAATGGGGACCCTAGCAGAGATTCCAATTCTGCCCTCCAGCTTTAATGCTTTCTCATTATCCACACTTAATTGAGACCAGTGGAGGGGGAATTCACGCACAGCACTCCTCTCAGGGGATTGAGGGCAAATGCTAAAGTTTGGAAGATGTTTTAGAAATGAATTTGAGCAAACCAGGTTGTGAACAGTTGCTGATGTCATCATGTGCAGCCAGACATAGCTGTTCCGAGAAAGAAGGCTCTTCTATAAACCAGAGGATAGCGTCCCTACACACACACCCCCCACCGGCCCTAAATAAAACTCATCTCCTAGGGGTTGATACTTGCTAGACTCTGCTTCTCAAAATCGACTGTGCACAGAAATCATCTGGGCTGATTGTCTCAATGCCTATGCAGATTGTGCAGGTCTGCAGCGTGGCTTCTAATCTTCATTTCAAACAAGCTCCCGTATGATGCTGATGCTGCTGGTCCCTGGACCGTACAAGGTTCTAGAGAACCTGTCACGAGGCTTTGAGGAGCTGACATCACACAAGATATGTTCTGGGATGTGACTTTTGCGAGATCAAATAAATAAGCTATTTCTCTTCCTTGTCCTTGCCCCTTGCCTCTCTCCTCGCCCTCCCTCTCCTCCTCCTCCCATCCCTACTACCAGCTGTTCAGCATGCGGAGCTGGAGTGACATGCGGCGGGAGGTGCTATATCTGACCAATGTGAACAGCTCCAGCTCCTCCACCCAGATTTACCAAGCAGTGTCCCGCATTGTCTGTGGTCACCCCGAGGGCGGGGGGCTGAAGATCAAGTCCCTCAACTGGTATGAGGACAACAACTACAAAGCCCTCTTTGGGGGCAATGGCACCGAGGAAGATGCTGGCACCTTCTATGACAATTCTACGAGTGAGTGTCTGCACCCAAGCCCTGGCTGTACCCCACCTTCCATCTAGATGCAGCTCCGTGTCACCTCTTCAGGAAGGCTAGCCGTAGGACTTCACGCTTGCTCCTATCAAGCTCTGTAGTGGCATTGGATGTATGTGTGTCTCTGTGCCCACCAGGTTCCGAACCCCTGGAAGAAAGAGTCTTTCTCTATTTAGTTGATTGTCCCCTGTTGTTGAAAGGTGCCTGCTGCATCTTCAGGGTGCATGGGAATGTCCATGAAAGGAATGGATGCTTGGAAAACACTCTTCTTGGCTTTATAGGGTATAAGGGGTGGGCCCCAGAATCATAGGGGATGAGATGCTGATCTTTTAGAAGGTATTATTTACAATTACAACCATCGAGGCAATAAGCTTTATAATAAAAATATATTTAAGGTATTGGAAATAAACGCTAACGCTTTAGGGACATCTTAGATGTTCTGTGTTCTATTGATCTCTTTTAACTCTTATGATAAGCTACAGGGAAGGTTTGGAGCTCCACGCTTTATAGGAACAAAGAAGTTAAGTGCTAATCAGCAAGTACCGGGATCTGATCTAGATCAGCCCGGCTCCATTTTCTAGGTGAGCAGACTGAGACTCAGAGAAGTAACATCACTCACTAGTAAGTGATAGGGTTGGGAATCAAACCTAGGACTCTGTATCTGGCTCCAAAGTCCTGTGTGTGTTCCCCTTTCTGTGTGGCATTCCTGTGAACACCTGTATGAGGACATGTACTTTCCTCCCCCCTCGGTAGCGCCTTACTGCAATGATTTGATGAAGAATTTGGAGTCGAGTCCACTTTCCCGAATTATCTGGAAAGCGCTCAAGCCTCTGCTCGTGGGGAAGATCCTGTATACACCTGACACTCCAGTCACGAGGCACGTTATGGCTGAGGTAAGATGCCTGGCCCCACAGCACCGTTCTCATAATCCTTTCAGGATTAGGGACAAAGAAGTAAAGGCGGCTTCAGGTGGAAGATTGCCAGCCATGCCAGTGGCTCTTCTGGGGTTGTCACCGAGTGAGAACCTCGGGTATGTAGATCAGAGCTGACGACTGGCTCGTGCCTTCGAGTCGTAGCTGCGGGCAGCAATCCTTGGGGCTGCAGGGGCTCTGCGGAAGGGCTCTATTATCTTTCCAGGAAGCAGATGGATTCTTTTCTCTTTGGCCCCTTGCTCCCCACCTGACTCCAGGTGAACAAGACCTTCCAGGAACTGGCTGTGTTCCATGATCTGGAAGGCATGTGGGAAGAGCTCAGCCCCAAGATCTGGACCTTCATGGAGAGCAGCCAAGAAATGGACCTTGTCCGGGTGAGTGTTACCCCAGCCAGTTTCCGGTTCTTCCCCGGATGTAACTGATAAGAGCACTTGAAATGTAACCTGGCTAGACATAGTGAATCTGGGGCGCAGCTCGAGACACAGGGTGCCACCTTTCCCGAGGCTGAACTTACAGTGCACGGACGGCACTCTTGCGTGCAGTGGCAGCAGTGCCACATCTCTGGTGCTCGACTGTATCCTAAGGAAACTAGTGAGGCCTGGGGCTTGGCCACACCAGGGTTTGGTGAGGGCTGGTTAATGCCGATCGACTTGCACTTTGGGCTCCAGCCGTTGGGCCACCGCCAGCATCTTGTTCATTCATCCTCTGTCTCAATTTCAGCCTGTGGTTGCCGGGGCTCAGCGATCGGCATGAACAGAACAACAGTAATTGTGAGGATGGCGCAGGTCCGGCGGTGCTTTGTTCCGCTGTCCGCAGTCCTACTCACTAGGAGTCGGAACTGACTTGTTGGCACCTCACGGCCACAGTAGGTCTTTCCCAGAGGCTGCACACGAGCCTGGTCTCAATGTGCAGGCCACTGGGAGCCTGCTGCTCCCCAGGGCAGCACGCGGGCACTGAGCAGCCATCGCCATGTGAAGGCGGAGGCAGGTCTACGAAAGAGGCCCTCTGGCAAGCCTCGGTCCAAACATCCGACCCCCATCTTTTAGATGACTTTGTCCTAGAAATAGATGTCAAGCTTCTTCGTCTTTTACTTCACGTGTGATGGCACCGCATGAAAGCCACGCGGCCCTGTCCTTGCTGTCACTGATGGCAGCCGGGCTGTGAGGTGCTCCAAGCGTGTTTCCCCATTTCTTCTTCTTCTGCACTCAGCGGAGCAAGACGAGGCAGTCGGCCTGGACCCACGGAGCCTGTGAGGCATTCGCTGTAACTTGTTGAACGGCCCCCGCAGCGAGGGTTAAAAGAAACTGCTCAGTGGTGCCCCCTTCAAGTGGCGCCCAGGGCACATGTCGTGCCTGCCTCCTGTCACACAGGCCTCTGTGTGGAGGGGATCCGTGTTTAGTGTCTCAGTGCCACTTGAGAGGGATAAGTGCTCTGGAGACGATGGGGTTCCAGGGGAGGAGTCTGAGCCCGAGTAAGGTTTAAGCACACCATCTCTGCCGTGGGCTGAGTCACAGAAGCAGCGCACGTTTCCCTTGGCCCCTGGGGAGGGCAGCCTCTTCCTTCTATCTGCTGTCATTAAGAAACAGGAGAGGAAGCAGTTTTGTTTGTTTGTTTTCCCTATTGACACCTCATTGATCCGAGTGACCATTAGGATTGGGAGCATGATCATTCCTAAGATTGAGGGCCATCCCTTCTGCCCCCCAGGAGAGAGATTACTGAAGAAGGTTCTGGTGCCAGAAAAGCCCTCGTCTCCTTGATTGCTCTAGTTCTCTGGCACAGATGCAGAATTCTTAAAATTGGGGTCATAAAAAGGACTTTGGTATGTCAAACACGAACAAAAAAATGTAGGGAGGTATATAGGATTACTGAATAATTAACATGGGAGAATGATATCTTCTGCCTTGAAGTGTAGGCTCCAGCCCCTTTTCTTCATGGGTTTGCATGGTCCGCCATGGATAGTGTTACAGACATAGGTGTGGTCTTGTGCCTCTTCTTTTTAAAAAAAATCATTTTATTGGGGGCTCGTACAACTCTTATCACAATCCATACATCCGTCCATTGTGTCATGGACTTTTGTACATTTGTTGCCCTCATCATTCTCAAAACATTTGCTTTCTTCTTGAGCCCTTGGTATCGGGTCCTCATTTTCCCCCTCCCTCCCCCCCCCCCCCCATGAACCCTTGATAAGTTATAAATTATTAATGATTCTTTCTTTGGAACTTGTTTTTATCCGGCTTGGACGTTTCTCTCTGCCTGGGTCTCAGGGAATGACACGGGAAGGGCCTTCTGTTGTTGGTTTGTGGGCACAGAGATGCTTCCCTGGTCTCAGCTGGAGGGTTTGCCTGGGACACTCCAGTTGCACAGTGCTCTCCACTCTCATGGGGAAGGCCTTGGTAAGACTGGCATTAGCATTCTCGAAGGTTTCGAAGGCATTCTGCTGGGAGGTTTCAGGGTGTGGGAGAGGAAATGTAGAGCTGGACCCAAAGAAAAAGTCAGAGCACATGTTTGGAGGGTCCTGTGCCCCTCTGAGGACCTTTTGCTTTAAGCTGTGGGAATCCCGAGAGGCTTTGAAGTAGGGGAGATGGAGGCCCATGGCGCTGATATGAAGACGACTTGAGGAAGGGAAAGGTAGAAGTCAGAGACGAGGAGGAAGGCTTCCCAGGTGAGGGACAGAGGGCTGAGCCGGGACACTGGCCAAGGCATCAGACAGGAGGTGAAGCCAGAGACTGCTTGATGGGGCGGAGTGAGAGAAGGGGCCAACGAGGATGACTCCTGATTTCTGATGGGTCGGTGGAGGGGATGCCCAGAAGGCCAAAGAAAAGTGGCAACTAGAGGGCAGGAGAGGGTGGTCCGGCTGGAGACCCAGACTAGGGAAGGGCCACACCCTCCCACTGCCCTCTGTGCTCTATTCCGTGGGAATGTTTACCTCCACCGGCTTGCGTTTCTCAGTCCTTCACACCCTGCAGCCTTGTTGCTGGCACGGGATGAGATTCTGGAAGTTTCTGCTGTGGTCCCTCCTTTCTCTCTGTTGTCACCGACTCTGTCTGTACTCTGTTTGCGTCATAATGCAGACCCAGACCACGTTTCCCTCTGTCCAGTCACAGTGCCCACCAACACCCACCTGCTCTATTTTCTGAACGGTGCTTGGCCCCTCATGTCAAGACCAAGCTTTCCCTCTGGCTGCCACCCCCAGGGGTTTCCTAGGTGTCCTGGTCCCCTAGAATGACCACGCGGTCAGTGTCCTCTTTGGCCATATTGCTTCAGTGCCACTCAGGGCAAAAAAGGCCTCTCCTCTGTTGGCACATTTCTCTCTGCTTTTATTTGTTCTTTTGCAGTATTTAGAGTGAGTGGTGTCAAAATTGCTAACCCACCTTCCCGTGAGAAGTACTTTTTGTAGGGTACAGTTTGGTAGTGATTGCATGAACAAAAATGCATACATAATGGTACCGATGGCAGTCTAAACTGTTGCTCCCCCTTGGAAAGCAATTTGGGATGGAAATTTCAAGAACCATAAAAAATTGTACTTCTCTTTCTCGTTAACTCCCCCAGGGATGGGTCCTACAGAAGTAATTTTAAATAAGTCATTATATGAATGGAAATGTTATTACTGTGATAATTGTTATTGTGAGAAACTGGAAATATATAAAAGTTTAGCACTGTGGATTGGTTAATGAAATTATAATACATATATTTATGAAATCATTATGTTACCATTAAAATAATAAATTCAAAAGCCACAGAAAGAAAGGGAGGAAGGGAGGGAGAGAGAAAAGAGAGAGTATTTAATGTTAGTAAAAATAAGACTGATTTATAAGAGTATCAATTTTAAGAACCTTGGAGATTTTAGTTGCTAGGCTCTAGAAGTGGTGGCAGGAGTTGTAAATGCTTCTCCTTTTCCATCCGCTGCAAGGTTTGAAGTTTCCCTCATTGCTTTTCTGCCCGAGTACCTCTGAAGCATCTAGTTGAGCCACCACACGCGTGTGTCCTTCTTTCCCCATGAGCCCATCAGTGACCCCAATGGCTAACAATCAAGAATGGCAGACAGGCTCCTTTCATTTATGCCCCAGGGGTCCTACAATTGGGAAAGATGGTATTTTACCTGGTTTAGCAGCACCGTTCTTTTCCTAAGTGAGGCAGTAAAAGTGGGTTGGTCTTAATTGAGTTCATAGAATGCGTCCTCATCAGGCTAGGTCTCCAAAGAAGGCAGCAATATCATGCATTAGGAATGTGCACTGGATTAGGAATGTGGTGGATCTGTGCTTGAAATCCTGGCTCTACTACTTACTGGCTGTGTGACCGTATGTTAAGGACTTGACTTCTCTGAGCCATCTGTAAAATGGGAAATATTAAAAGTGCCTTCTTTCTGGAGTGTGTGAGAAGTGAGAGAGAAGGCATGTAAATCACTCAGCACAATAGCTGTGCAGAGTAGATATCGCTATAAGGTTTTTTGCTGCCGTTAATCTGCAGAACTGGGCTGTTTGTGGTAATGAGAAACGTATGAACTCTGGATTCAGACAGCTCTGGGAACTGTGAACATGTTGACTCGGCCTTGGCAGAAACATTACACTCTGTTTTCAGTCTCAGTCATCTCACCAGTCAAGTGAGGCCACTGCTAGTCTTCAGTGCAGATCAAAGAGACAGTGTGTGAAAGGGTTTCATTAACTGTACGCTCGTCACCGAGAAGGCCTGGGTGTTAACTTCTGGTGTTAACTACCACAGACGCTGTTGGACAGCAGAGGCAATGACCAGTTCTGGGAGCAGCAGTTGGAGGGCTTAGGTTGGACGGCCCAAGACATCGTGGCGTTCCTGGCCAAGCACCCCGAGGATGCCCAAGATATCAATGGCTCTGTGTACACCTGGAGAGAGGCTTTCAACGAGACCAGTCAGGCAATCCAGACCATCTCTCGCTTCATGGAGGTGAGCCTCTGTTTCTGGATCATTTAAGAAAGATCATTTAGCTTTGGTTCGCTAAGATGTTGGAATAAAATCCAGGTGGGAGAAAAGTCTAGAAATGATGGATGGTCTTACTTATAGTGGCACCTCATCGAACCTAACAGGGCTTGGCGTACCAAAGACACCCAATACATGTTAGTTAAATGGCTGAATTCATCAATAAAAGAAAACGTAATGCTGGTTTAATGTTTATCCTGATTCAAGGATGTCTCTGTCCTTTGTCCTCTGGAGATTCAAGGTGGCCTGAAAGTGCTTCCTGTGTGTTGGTGGCCTGGTATCTAAGGGCTCCAAAGTGTTCCTTTGAAACTGCATCATTTAGGAAGCTGATCTAACAACTAAGAGCCATGGTAGCACAGAGGTTCAGCGCTCGACCGCTACCTGGGAGTTTGGTGGTTCAAAGGTACCAGTCATCCCCCAGAATGATGTTGAGTCTGCTTCTGTAAAGACTCAAAGCATGGAAGCCCCTGAGGGACAGCTCTGCTTTGCCCTACAGGGTGGCTGTGGATGGGAATCAGCTCAGCGACAGTGGTTTCAGTGGGTTTGTATCTAACAGCTAGTGCAGGATAGGTTACATTTAAAAAAATACAGTTATAAAAATTTTTATATCGCTTGGTAAGGCCATAGGAAAGAGGGTTTTTTGCCTTTGTTTTTAAGTTAGTTTATTTGCTTGTTTGCTTCGTTGCTATGACTCAAATTTATTGAGAAAATAGGAAAATGGGAAACGATCCTCGTTTCACTGTCTCCACAAAACAATCAAAACAAGTAACTAATCTCTAAATCTTTCTAGCATTTTCTTTAAATTATTGTTAAAAACCAAAGTGGTGCTTTCTCAGTTGAAGTTTGGAATCTTAGGTTAGAGAGGATTAATGGTGAGGGGGGGATGGCGCACTGGAACTGACTGTGGGGATGTGTATACACAACTCTCCTTAAATACAGTTCAACTATGTGAATGTGAATGTTATCTCCAAAAAACTATTAGAAAGAAAAATAAAAAGGGAGTAAGGAGAAAAATAAGCCGGCCGTGAGTTGGGACGTCTCTCTCAGGGTTGGCTGTGTCTTGGCTGCTGTTTGCTCCCCTGGCCCCAGAGTTCTCACGAAGGCTGCTCTTCCTCCAGTGTGTCAACCTGAACAAACTGGAACCGGTAGCAACTGAAGTTGGCCTCATCAATCAGTCCATGCGGTTGCTGGATGAGAGGAAGTTCTGGGCTGGAATTGTCTTCACCGGAATCACTCCCAACAGTGTTGAGCTGCCCCATCACGTCAAGTATAAGATCCGAATGGACATTGACAATGTGGAAAGGACGAATAAAATCAAGGATGCGTAAGTTGAATCCCATAAGCCGAGCCAGGCTTGGGGGTGTCCAGTGCCCGGCAAGATTCCAGTACTGTGGAGTGGATTCCCTCTCAGAGTTCCCTGTAGCACCACGTAGAACTGTTCTACTGGGTTTCTGAGGCGGTACATCTTTTTGGAAGATTTGCCTCATTTTTATCCGATGGAGTAGCTGATGGGTTTAAACCATGGATCTTTTGCTAAGACAATTTGCTAGAAATTCCAACCTAAAATAAGTCCAATGAACGGCATAGTTATGGTGAAACTGATGCAAAAACATTGCAGGAAGCTATTAGCATTTCAAAGGTCATAAAATGTCATGATCTTTTGATTCAACATTTCCCCTTAGAGAATGAACGCCCAGGAAGAATGTCAACAGGCAAACAGCAGACTTCAGGTGTCCCGCACTTGCTTGATCGGCTTTGTCTGTTTTTTATAAAAAGGAGCCAACAGTCCATTAATGGGAATGGTTAAATAATTTTTGATATGGCCACTTGATGCATTGTGAGACAGAGAATGAGGAAAAATATCCAAAAAATAGCGTGCTCATTTCAGGAGCGCATTTTTGGAACGTGGGCTGCTTCTTATAAAGAGTCCAGAAAAAGTTTTCATGCGAACACCACAGACTTTGATGGCTGCCAGGGGTGGGAGGAGAGAGGAGGGCAAGTGAAGTCACAGATCAGGACATAGACGGGGAGGAAACTTGGCGATGGGGAGCCAGGCTCCTACAAGAGGTAGATGAGGAAAAGCTGATGGAAACCGGCTCAGATGACATGGGGAGGTTAAATGTGAAACTGAGGATCGATCTGCTCTGTAAACCTGCGCCTAATTCAAAATAAAAAGTTAAAACACAAAGAACAGGATGAATAAGCATGCCTATCAGCTAAGAGCAGAATGTAAGGCAGTGGGATTGTGATTGGTCGATTGATTTCTTTTAATTGTATGTTTCTAAGGAATGTTGGATCACCTGTGCTTTGGATTCAGGTACTGGGACCCGGGTCCTCGGGCGGACCCCTTTGAGGACATGCGGTACGTCTGGGGAGGCTTTGCCTACTTGCAGGATGTGGTGGAGCAGGCCATCATCAGAGTGCAGACGGGCCTGGAGAAGAAGACCGGGGTCTACATGCAGCAGATGCCCTACCCATGTTACGTCGATGACATGTGAGTGATCCCTAAGGACCTTCTTTAACCAGTGACTCCTGTCCCAGGTGGAGTGGGGGCAAAAAGTGCCAAGGGGGAGTATTAATGGATTGTAGTAATTTTTCATGTGGGTGCTGCTGGTCAACAAATGGTTTTTGAAATCTGTGGCCGTTTCAGCAAATGGAATGCCAGATGTGGGTGCTCCATAGTCCATCCACCTCATAGACACATACAGGTGCCCACACTCGTCATCCGTCTTTTCCTTCCACGGTTACGACCGCCATTATTTTCTTTCTGCCTTCTTTTTGGGTCACAAGGCGCCCATTGTTCAAGTTCAAGTCTTCTGTGACAAATACCGGCAACTGTACTCGTGGGCACCCACAGACACTGACACAACTGCCTAGACTTGGAAAGCTAGCTTAGCGTCATGTTGTCTACTTCCTCTCTACAAGTCATGAACCAAATAAAATGGAACAAAGCCTCTCTATCATAGCCTCTTTAGATATTCTTGTTGCGCTCCTTCACGAAGCCGCAGGGTACTCTTGGGAACCATGTCTTTGAATCACATGGTTTCTTGCAAGAGAGCATTGGCAGAGGTGTGCTCGTTGTGGGCATCTGGAATATGTGTACGATCCTTTCTCTGCTGCCCTGTGTGGAGAGGGGTCAGGAGCCAGGGGAGCCTCTCCTGGTGTTTGCCTGTCGCTTTGCAGCCAACCGCCTGCTTCCTTGCCTGACCAACTCCAGTCTTTCCAGATAGCTAGAAATTAGCCTGATGTTCACCTTCAGAAAGAACTGGGACTTTTCTAAGGAGGTCCTTGCCAAAGGCTCCTCCCAGGGTTACTCCAACAACCTTGTTTAAAGGTGCGAATGGAGAGGCACTAAGAGCCTTTGTATATTGTCACATGACCCTGTGAGTGGAAGCTGGAAATTGAACCTCAAATCTCAAGGTCCAAATTCTTAGTTCCTCCTACTTCACAGCACTGCATGTCCTGTTCCAGTTGGAATCTGAAATATTCTTCAAAAGAGTTGGTGGAAAAATGCCATTGTCTTTTAATTCCATGCTCCCATGAACATTTTGAATCCCCTTGCATTATTGATGAAGCTGGATGAGTATTTGTGCATTATCAGTGTTAAGGGTTAGGCTTATCACATTAATAGTGATCTGACCCTGGAGAAGTTTAGCTTTCATGAGAGAATGAGATTTGTTGTTTGTTTTAAAAGTATTTTAAAAGAACCCAGATTTAGCTTAATGGCATTTCACAGTTACCTAGTTAGCTAATGTAGGCCCCCAGTGGCAGTCTAGTTTTTATCACGATGTTATATATTACAGAAAGCATTCTGTAACTTAGGCATTTCAGAGATTCAAGAGCTGTCCGTTTTTAGAGTGAATGTGATGTTTTCTCTTTTGATTTTTAAAACCACTTGGTTGTGATAAAAGTACAGAGCATATCACTTGCCAATTTAGCATTCAGTGACATTGATTGTGTTCATCATATTGTGCGAGTCCCTTGGGTTGCTCTTCTATGCAGGCTCAGAGGGATGGGCCCACGAGCCTGGTTGATGCGTATCCTTCATTCTCTCCTCACTCTTTGCCGGCACCTCCAGCTTCCTGCGGGTAATGAGCCGGTCCATGCCCCTGTTCATGACGCTGGCCTGGATCTACTCAGTGGCTGTGATCATCAAGGGCATTGTGTATGAGAAGGAAGCGCGGCTGAAGGAGACCATGCGGATCATGGGCCTGGACAACGGCATCCTCTGGTTTAGCTGGTTCATCAGCAGCCTCATCCCTCTGCTTGTGAGCGCCAGTCTGCTGGTGGTCATTCTCAAGGTAAGGCTGCTTCATGCTTTCCTCCCTGCAGGGAGATCCTGAACAGCCCTGCAGGGCTAAGAGAAGACTTCTTGAGGGGGAAGGGGTGGGACCCTAGATGTGATGTACTATAATGCCCTCATTTTACAGCTGGTGAAAGTGAGACCCAGAAAGGGGCAGTAACTTGCCTGAGGTCAGGCCAGCTAGTTGACCGCCAAGCAGAACTAGAAACCAGGGTTTGCACTTCCTGTGTAAGTGCACGTTGTATACCACGCTGCCTGCTTGGCAGTGGTTTATGGCAGCATCTGAGAGCTGTACGTTTCCTGAGATGTATGTGGTGGCGAGCTTTCCTGACAACTGTAACTAACCGGAGGACATAGATTATTGTAAGTTATGTTTCCTGGAAGCAGAGGCGAAGGCAGAATTTGGTGTAAAGGTAGTCTCATGGAAGGAGAAAGAAATAGCAGGTTTGGGCAGAGGGAGAAATTGAACCTGCAGCGCAGGGCCAATTAAGTGGCGCAGCACTCTGAGATGTTGTATGTCTTATTGGAGTTGCCCACACTGAGCTGAAATGGCTGGGCCTGTTTGCTTCCACACCAGGCGCTCGCCCCGAGCCTCCCTACCCAGCCTTCTTAATCAGTCACTGGGCATGGGCTGTCCTGGATAGAGTGTGCCCCAGGTCAGGTGCCTCTCAGTGGATGTGACAAATGAGAGGAGCAGATGCTGTGCTAAAGTCATTATTGATGGGGAATCCGGGTAGTATATTTCTGTGTCTACCTCATTTTTAATACCGTGTATACTCGAATATAAGCTGGCCTGAATATCAGCCAAGGCACCTAATTTTATCACAAAACTGCATTAAAAATGGGCTGAAAAACTTATACATGAGTATATATGGTATATCTATCCATTTTATTTTCTACCATTTTCTTTAAGGATGCATCGCATAACCATAAATGCTTTTGAAGGGTGGGGAGTACAGAGGGACAGGAACTAACAGTTGATTCACTGCTCACTGCATTTGCTATGCGAATTTAATAAGTGGACACTTCCTGAATTCCAAGTATAGTTGAAAGCACCTCACATACGAGGTAACGTGGCTAGTGGAGGTTAAGGACTTGACCAAAGTCACACAAGTAAGTGGCAGAGCCAGTGTTTGAGTGCAGGTCTTGTTCACACCAAGGCCTCCTTTGTCTCTGATATCGAACTGTAAGGGTTCAGATTTGGGCTAGGGTGCTCTTGTGGTTGGTACCTGAGAGAGTTGCTCTGATTCAACTATAGCTACTGAACCATAGTCCACTACTAGAGCAAAACTCAAAAGGGAGTCATATCTGCAGGAGCAAAGCAGAATCCACTGCATGTGACCATGGGGAAGATTACTATTGCTTGCCTATTGTCTTTGACCCTGGGGAGAGAAGTCATGTGGGACACCATCTTCCACAACTCTCTCATGTTGCTCAGAGTTCTATCAAAAGGAGAAACCAGGTCAGGTTTACTAAACGAAGAAAAAAGTTGGCCACTGATATGAAATAGAAAGCCGAGGACTCTGTCCTGCTCCTAATTCCAACACTGTGTGGCTGTGTGGTCCTGGGCCAGTCTTTCTCTTTCTTTGGGCCATTGGGTTCTTCATCATGAATAGCATTGTGCCTCTACATTATCTTTAATCAGGAAAAAAACCAATACCAAAAATAACTACATTCTGATTTTTCTCCCCTCATACATCCCGCCAAGGTGTGCTGGGGCTTGCTGAGGCAGCCCATTGAGTGGGTCTCTTCCTTCCCAGTTAGGAAACCTGCTGCCCTACAGCGACCCCAGCGTCGTGTTTGTCTTCCTGTCCGTGTTCGCCGTGGTGACCATCTTACAGTGCTTCCTGCTCAGCACGCTCTTCTCCAGAGCCAACCTGGCCGCAGCCTGTGGGGGCATCCTCTACTTCATTCTCTACCTGCCCTACGTGCTGTGTGTGGCCTGGCAGGACTACGTGGGCTTCAACCTCAAAGTCTTTGCGGTGAGTACCTGTGGTCCATAGACAGTAACACTCCGGGTATTTGGCCTCCCTGCTCTCCCCCATGAGGAGAGGCAGCAAAGTTGGGAACAAAAGAAGAGAGCGTCTCTTCCCAACAGGACTTGAAGAAGGCAAGGCGTTCGTTCTCTCAGTGCTCTAGTTTAGTGCTCTCAGTGCTGGAGATGAAGGTCATCTTTCAGAGAATCATAATGTACCATGGACCTGGCTGTGGAAATGGCAATGGGGACTGTAGAAGAGCTGTTTTGGGTTTTAGATGCCATGTCTGCCTGTTGTCTCACCAGCTCTGTCGGCCATGCTAATCATGCCCCAAAGTCATGGTCAAGGGGAAACTAAAGCTCTTGGGGTTAGGGATGGCTCCTTGCCTTCCTTATGCCCAGTCTGGTCTTTGATGTGACTCTAATTTTCTGAACAAGTCTTAGCAGAGCAGGTCCCCTCGATTCACAGAAGTCCCCAACTTGGACAAGCCCATCCCTCTACAGAGGAAGGGAAGCTCTCGGTGTGTGTGTGTATGTGTGTGTGTGTGTGTGTGTGTCTTTATTGGGCAGGAAGGATAGTGGAGCTTTGGGGACATCTGTGGCAGTATACAAGTGCTATATCTCATCACATATGTGTCTCTGAAATGTGTGTGTACATAATGAATGGTTACAAATAGAATTATTTTATATGCTGCAAGGGACCCCACTCGGCTAAAGGGACCTTGTAGGTGAATCCTTCCACATACTGTGATTGATCCCTTTCATACATAACAACTTCTCCAGGTGTCCAGGACACCTCTACGTACCCAACAGGCTTGCCTTAGAAGTGAGAGAAAAATGAAAGAGTCAGGATATTGGATGAGTGATTCTCGCCTCTTCTCACAGAGCCTGCTGTCTCCTGTGGCGTTTGGGTTCGGCTGCGAGTACTTTGCTCTTTTTGAGGAGCAGGGCATTGGGGTGCAGTGGGACAACCTGTTTGAGAGCCTAGTGGAGGGAGATGGCTTCAACCTGACGACCTCCGTGTCCATGATGCTGTTCGACACCTTCATCTATGGAGTGATGACGTGGTACATCGAGGCTGTCTTTCCAGGTACCAGGAGCTTTCACTCTCTCCAGGCCATCGGGGAGGGAAATACGAGGTGTAGTTCCAGTGCCTTCCTCCCTTTATGCTGCAATCACTCTGCAGGGGTTAGAGCTCCCTGGGAAGTAGCCAGGGCTTGTACTCAGGGCAAGTCCATAGACCAAGGAGGAGAGACAGCTGTTGCTGAAGAGACACAGATAGTAAAGAGCTGCTACCAATACTGCAATGATGGCTTGAGTATGGGGTGCCAGGTACATGCAAAATGTATTCAATACTCTAATAAATGTAACCCTAAGGAAATCCTAGGCAGGTATTATCCAAGATGCATCTCTCATGGATAAAGACTCATGTAAGACCAAATCATAGACGGGTGAGGTTTAAGCAAATGGTTCATCGTCTAATTTTCCTCTAGTCAAGGGTACATATTAGCCCTACCTGAACTTCCCGCCATTTGAACGTGCCCTTTTGCCCCATACAGACCTGAATTCAAATCCTTCACCTATTGGTTGAGTTACTTTGGCAGATTAATTATCTTTTATTACACTCTGCATCTCTAAAATGAGCACAACACATGTCTCATGGATGTATTGGGAGGATTTAGTGAGGTGCGAAACTGCTCCCTGGAGAAGGGCAGCCTGCTTGGTTAAGTAGGGTTGCAGTGAGAGAGAGGAAGACCCTAGACCAGATAGGTTGATGCCGTGGCTCCAACATGTGGCATATTGGGAGGACAGACAGGACCGGGCGGCGTTTCGTTCTGTTGTACGTAGGGTTGCTATGGGTTGGGACCAATTCACTGGCTCCTCACACAGCGCCACCGCCAAATGGAGGGTACCTGGTGCACAGCAGGTCTCAGTAGATGTTGGCTCCCCTCTCCCGGAACCTCTCTACCAGTCTTGTTCGTCTCTGAAGGACACAGCGTGTGTCAAGGAGGGAGGGAGTCTGCCTGAACTCCTGGGATGGTGCAGAGTTTGGCTCACATCTGTGATTTGCTTTTAGGCCAATATGGAATTCCCAGACCCTGGTATTTTCCTTGCACCAAGTCCTATTGGTTCGGCGAGGAAAGTGATGAGAAGAGCCACCCTGGTTCCAGCCAGAAGGGAGTATCAGAAAGTAAGTGTGGCCACTCCCCGAACCCCAGTGCCGTCACCCCCACTGACTGTCCTTTAGCGTCTAAGGACAGAGACATCACATGGGATGCCCAGGTCCCAGTTCTTCCCTGTCAGTGCTGGTGACTTATCAGAGAATCCCTCTGTGGAGCTCTGAGGGGTAGTTCCTTTGTTTTCTTGGCTTCTGGGTATTGGCTTTGATCACTCCACTGTCAGCCCCACCTCCACCCTTTGCATGCATTCCCATGCTATCATGACTAGCTACAGGAAGAGTGATTAGTTGTGGGATCATCACTTTCAGTCCTGGACAGATGTCAAAGCTCAGCCTGGGGGCTTCCCCGTGATTATCCAGCTCCCCCACTCCTCTCCCGGCTCCTGGGGGCAGCCAGAGATGCCCCAGGTCAGCAGTTTACTCCAGCTCTGGGAGAGGAGCTGATCTTTGTGCTCAGGGTGGCTTCCTAAATCGTTCATAAGCCTCTCTTCTGCTGACCTCTTCGGTGCCTTCCCCAGCTGCCAGTCTTAAAAGTGCAGTGTGTCCTCGCATGGCACGCGCGGCTCTTTACAATCTGCCCCGCCCCCCACTCCAGCTTCTTCTGCTGCTATTTGTCTTCGTATGCCCTTCCTCCTCTTGCTGCCCAGCTGCGGTGTGGCCAACCAGCATTGCTCAAGGTTGCCAGAGCTTACCGGGCCCTTGCACATCTTGGTGCCTTTGGGTGCATGTAACATTTCCTCTTACTGGAAGCCCCTTCCTCCCACTTACCTCCCTTCCGACCTCCTGCTCCTTCTTTGAGATTTAGTTGAAGTGTCCTCCTGTTGCTTGAGCAGCTCCCCTAAATTCTCAGGTCACTGTCTTCTTGGAGATTCCAGGGTATTTAACATAACTTTTTGCTTTGTACAATTCTATATCCACAGGAAGTTGCAAGCATGTATACTGGCGTGGCCTCTTGCCCACTTTATCCAGTGTTCCACAGCAGTAACACCTTTCCCAGCTGTGGTGTCCTATCAAACCCAGGGAGCTGGCTTTGAGATAAGCCACAGACTCTCTCCTGATGTCACCAGCTTGGACAGGCACTCAGTTATACCTGCGCGTGTTTAGTTCTGTGGAATTTTATAACATAGGTAGATTCGTTTAACCACCACTGCAGTTAAGAAGTGAACCTGGTAACTTGTTCTTCACCTCTGTGGTATTATATCCCAAGAGTATCATATAAATGGAGCTATATGAAGGGGCTTCAAAAAGTTTGTGGAAAAATCCAATTATTCTTCAACCCCAATGTTCCATGAACCTTTTGAAGCCCTTCTCTATAGAGTATGTGACCTTTGAGCCTGGCTTATGTTCATGCAACATCGTTCCTTTGAGATCTGGCTTAGTTGTTCTGAACATCGATAATTTGCTCTCCTTTGTTGCTGTGTGGTATTCTCTGGGACAGCTGTTCCACAGCTGCATAGAATTAAAAGAAGAAGAAGAAGAAGAAGCTTTTAGCATCTTATATTTTGTTGCTCGTGGTAGGCTAAAGAAATAGACTTGGAGTGACCTAAGGGTGGAAGTTGTGTTTTCTTTTTCTTTTTTTTTTTAATTAATCAATTTATTGGGGCTCATACAATTCATCACAATACATAGATCAATTGTGTAAAGCACATCTGTACATTTGTT